CAGTAGCGCAGTGCCGGTCCAACACTGTCCCCATGAGCAAGTGTGCGCCCATGAGGAACCCTGGTAGCCATGCTAGCCGTTAATCAGGGCCGCCCCGCAAGGGGATGAAGGTCTAGGAGTGCCAAGGTTAGGCACCCAAGGAGGTCGACCACCCCTCCTCAAAGAGTACATTAAGCTTTTGGTGGTTTGCTTGAAGATGACATGAGTTCTCCCAAAAATCTTACAGGCGAAAATGACGGGCATGTCCCTAACGTAAGCCTGCCAAGCGTAGGCAAGGCTAAGCCTGCTTTGAACCGTAACATTACTTCACAATACAGAACTGATGATGTGATCATTGAGATGTTCTCTGAAAAAGTTTATTGCAGTGTTTTTTTGTTAGAATAATTTCCTGGTTTTCAGGAAAGTCCTAGTCTTTAGGGATAACTACCTGTATTTGAATTATTTCATGAAAGTCCTAGTCTTTAGGGATAACTATCAGTATTTGAATTGTTCAAAGTCTCTGTTACAACTTAGCTTTATTCTCGCTAAAGTGGGCTGTTTTCAATGGTGTATTGAACGGCTATTTAAGCCAAGATTATTGTTAATAAAAGTAGTCATTCAACCCAGTTCGTTGTGTTCTTATTTTTAGCTTTCATATTAGATTAAAGATCCCAACATTCTCAATACAGAACATGTCCTTATTCTTCAACCGCATTTTTTATTTTGCTTGTTATGTCAGTGGCCGTCACAGAAGCAATTCGCAAACACTGCATAATCACACTCTGCATGACACCCTCTCCACCTGCTTTTTGGACAGCACAGACATCGCCATTTGTATTCAATGTGGCAGTCATTCTTCCTCCCATAACCGCCTCTTCATTGTGAGTTGGATCTATCACCACAGTGTTCCCATCACCAAAAAATGCAAAGGTTACTGCTATAGGAAGATGATGTATTGTCAGAGGGAGTGGCTCCTTCACCTCAGGTGGATGAATTATCACTTCCTGACCATCTTCACCTCCTAATGTACATTCTGGCCTTCGGAATGTCAGTAGCGCAGCCAAAGCAGCAATATTAGCAGCATCAACCAGATTCCCTCCATTATCAAGAATGTGAAGATCAACACGAATGGACCAGACTAACTTTCCAGCAAGCACACAAAGTGATTCTGTATCTATTGCCCTGCTCTCCCTTAAACCTCGGTCTATTATTCGTCCAAGTTCCACAGCAAACTCCCCAGGACGCCCCGCCTCAAATGAAGGGTCAGCCATTGGTGAAAACTCAGTATATATTGTTGAAAGGGTTCCTTCATTTGGCCTGTCTCGATATGGTTGTACTAGTTGAGAAGTGACAAATCCCATAACATGAGTCTGTCCTAGCTGCACTTCTGAAGATCCATCCTCTCTCCCAAACTTAACAGTCAACTGACGATAATCGAAAGGACGACGACCATCAACCCTGAGGTCCGAAAGTAATACTGTCTCAATAAACTTCTTTTCATTGACTGACATCCGCCAAGTGTTTGCCAATCTTTGTTCCATTTCCTGAGTGATGTCCTGGCCGTCGGTTTCTTGATGCCGCGAATAGGAACTCCAGAAGAATTCGATGTGTTTTGTGGAACAGGGGAGGTCGCGGTCTCCTACCGAATGCTAAAAAGAATGCAGAAATCCACGGAGATTGATGGAGAAATGAGAAACGACACCGAAAATGACGGATCCTTTACCGGATCTGGTAGAAAACAATGCTTCCGCCGATGAATATGTGCTCTGTTCTTCACAGGAAGAGGTAACGACGAACGGAGCAAGGAGGGACGATTTTGTTGGATTCGTAAGTAGAAGCGGAGAGAAATCCGATGGATTGGTAGGTAGAAACTGAGAGAGCTCTGATGGAGGGGAGGTTTGCCGTTGCGGTGACGAACGGAAACAGAGAGAGGAGGAGGAAGAAGAAGAAAGAAGAAAGAGCAAAGAAGAAGGAAGAGAGAGAGGTCGGAGAGAAGAGGAGAGGCCGGAGGTTTGGGGGGAGATCGTCGCCGCTCGCTGGTTTCGTTCGAACAGGGGAGAGAAGAGAACAGTCGATTGTGTTGGTGAATGTTTCTTTTGTCTGTTGAGAATAGGCTTGCTCCCTTAGTTTTCCCATTTTTCTACTTAGTAAACACGGAGGTTTGTTATTACACACTTCATGTAGATCAAAGGTTGCATAAGAGAGACGGGATCTGCTCCTTACGAATGGGCGCCTCACATGCACATCCACCGTGCATTAAGAACATCTCCCGTGAATAATAATTAATTAGTACGGGAGATGTTCTCAATGCATGGTAGGATGTGCATGTGAGGCGCCCTGTGTGAGGAGCAGATCCGGTCTCTGCATAAGATGTTGAGTACCTCCCAAAGAATCAGGATTTGGTCATCATTGAGCGCACCTCACACCGACCTAGAGCCCTATCCCAATAACCTAAATAATCTCTTCTCCTAAATTACCTCCTCCACTATTGCCACTTTCTCCAAAATTATCTCTAATTCCTATTTATCTCCAAAATTATCTCTAATTTAGTGGAGAGTTTCTCTCATAAAGTATCTCTAATTCCAATTTATCCTTTCCCCCGCTTTTTATCTATATCTATCTAAAGAAAGTTTTGATTGAAAATTTTAAGAATTATTTAAATATTCTAACAAAATTATATAATAACTTTAAAATATTTATTAAAAACACAAAAAAAAATTATATTTTTATAAGATATATCATGAAATTATGTACTAACAATTTAAATTATGTTTTCCTGGATAATCGATTTAAATATTTTTCAAATATTTAATAATATGCAATAACTTTAAATAAATAAATTCAATTAACAAAACATTTTAAATATTTTGATAGATTATTTAAATATTTATCATAACTATATTTTAAATGGTTAAAATAACAAAATTATGTATTAAATTTAAAAAATTTCTTCAAAGTAGAAAAATAATTATAACATAATATTGAAACTAATAATAATTTAATATATTACAAAATTAATAATGAATTATGTAATCAAAGTATAAATTATGATTTTATGGATATTATCAATTTAAATGTTTTTCAAATATTTAATAATATGTAATAGATTTAAATAAATAAAATTTAAATACTTTATAGATTATTTAAATACTTAAATAAGTAAATATTTACCTTAATTAGATGTTAAATAGTTAAAATAACAAAATTATGTAATAAAATTAAAAAAATGTTCAAAATAGAAAAACAATTATAGCATAATATTAAAATTAATAATAGTTTAATATATTACAAAATTAACAATGAAATCATGTAATAATAGTATAAATTAGGATTTTATCGATAATTAAATTCAATAATAATTAGTATTTTAAAATGTAATTCTTTTACATATTACTTAAGTATTTAAATAACTAAATATTTTAAATAAAAAGTATTTAACATAACTAGATTTTGAATAGTTAAAATAAATAAATTATGTAATAAATTAAAAAAAAATTCTAAAAAGAAGAAAAATAATTATAACATAATATTGAAAWTAATAATAATTTAATATTTTTACATAATATTGTAAGTGACTAATTTCACTTATATCAAGTAATAATTCGAAAAAATAACTTTGAAAAAGATTAATATTTATTAATAAAAAATTTAAACTCTTAATATGTATATATTATATGATTATATATACTAAAATTAATATTTATTGTATTTCAATAATTATTTTATTGTTTTTTGTGATAATTGCATTTTCAAAGATTATGTATAAATTTATTTTGTTTTTTTATTTAACAAAAAACTTTCAATAACTATTGGAGATTAAACTACTATTTTTGAAATTTTTAAATTTAATTTATTGCAGTTTTGTTATAACTTATTGATTAGTATTTATTAGAGATTAATCTATTATTTGAGATTATACTATTTATTGACTAAGTTAATATATTTTTAGTACTTATTGTATTTTTTCATTATCAATATATTTTCAATAATTGTGTATTTTCGTTATAAAATTTCAATAATTATTGGAGATTATACTATTGCTATTGATCAGATATGAGACTATTAATTTAGCTGAAATTATGAGTGTTCATAAGTTGGTTTAGTTCGGTAATAGGCTATTTGGCAAACCAAATTGACCTAGTTAGGTTGGGGAGTTGGTTAGTTGAAACCGACTGACCTTTTATGAAAATTGACCCACTCAGATTGTACCAGTTTGGGTCTATTTTTTGGTTTTGTAAGTCGGTTCAAAAGATTTAAGCATAACAATTAAATTTAATTTTGAAAATTGTAGTGCAATTATTAATTTTAAAACATTTTAGAGTAAGAAATGTGGGAAATTTCCCACTTTCCATGTTAAAAATTATATTTGAATATAAAATATTAATATATCCATGGTTAAGTTGTTCAATTTTGATCAGTTTACAAATGGTCAAAGTGAAACTGATCCAACTTGGTCAAATTGGGATTTTTTTTTAACCAAAGCCGACCTAAAATACTAGAGAACCGACCAACTTGGGTCGAGTTGATTGGGTTGGTTGGTTTCACCAGTTTGATGAATAAACCTAACTGAATTAATTATTGTTATTTTTGTATTATAAAAAAATTATTATATAAAATACGAAAAATTATTAATTATTTAAAAAGTTGAAAATATAAAACAATTGTATATTCTTATGTGTTTTTATTAAATATAAAACACCTTATAGTTCTACATATTTACTTAAACCTACCTTTTTCATTTTACTAAAACATCTCATATATTTTACAATATATTTACTTAATCAACCTTTCTTTAAGAGTGTTTGTTTTTCCATTAGACCCATAATTTTTTATTCCAAAAATACACTTGACACTTTTTTAGTATAGAAAAAAAAATTGACCAAATATAGCCAATAGAGTAGTTGCCCATGTCTTATTAAGGGCAAAAATGGTATTTTATTTTTATTTTCTTTTAATTAAATTTATTTAAATGAACATTAGGGTCAATACTATCATCTAATGGAAGATTGATTAAATCCATTTCAAATTATAAGTGGTGTTTTAGTGAAATGCTAACTATAGGATAGATTTTAGTAAATCCATGAAACTATAAAGGGTATTTTAGTAAATAACCCTTTCAATTATTTATCTTTCACTTAATAAATCCCGTGCATTGCACGGGTCCCTGCTAGTATATATTAAAACAAAGCGGTCAAGAAATTTTCTCCTTTTTTGTTTTTTTATTCCATGTCATTTTTGAAACAACCAACGATATGCACTTTCCCGATAACCTAAATATTCTCTTCTCCTAAACTACCTCCCCACTTTCTCCATAATTATCTCTAATTCCTATTTATCTCCACAATTATCTCTAATTCCTATTTATCCTCTCCTTTTTTTTATCTATATCTATCTAAAGGAATTTGGGATTATAAAATTTAAGAATTATTTAAATGTTATAATAAAATTATATAATAATTTTAAATATTTAAATATTTGATATATTATTTAAATATTTAAATAACCAGATATTTATCATAACTATATTTTAAATAGTTAAAATAACGAAATTATGTAATAAATTTAAAAAAATCTTTAAAGCAAGAAAGTAATTATAACATAATAATGAAATTATGTAATAATAGTATAAATTATGATTTTATGGATAATTAAATTCCATAAATAACTAATATTTTAAATTTTAAATATTTTATATATTATTTAAGTATTTAAATAACTGGGTATTTTAGATAACAAAATATTTAACATAGATAGGTTTTAAATAGTTAAAATAAATAAATTATGCAATAAATTTAAAAAATATCTGAAAAGTTTAAAAATAATTATAACATAATATTGAAAATAATAATAATTTAATATTTTTACATAATATTGTAAATAACTAATTTCACTTATATCAAGTAATATTTCAAGAAAATATTTTTTAAAAAATTAATATTTATTAATAATAATATTAAACTCTTAATATGTATTTATTATATAATTATATATACTATAATTAATATTTATTGTATTCTAGTAATTATTTATTGTTTTTGTGATAAATGTATTTTCAATGATTATGTATAAATTTATTTTGTTTTGTTATTTAATATAAACCTTTCAATAATTATTTGAGATTAAACTACTATTAGTGAAACTTTTAAATTTAATTTATTGTACTTATTGTATTTTTTGTATTTTTCTTATAACTTATTGATTAATATTTATTGGAGATTAAACTATTATTTGAGATTATACTATTTATTGACTAAGTTAATATATTTAGTACTTATTGTATTTTTTTGTAATTTTCAATAATTGTGTATTTTTGCTATACATTTTCAATAATTATTGGAGATTAAACTATTGTTATTTATCAGAGATGAAACTATTAATTTAGCTGAAATTATGAATATTCATGAGTTGGTTTGGTTTGGTCGTAAGCTATTTGGCGAACCAAATTGACCTAGTCAGGTTGGGGAGTTGGTCAATTGAAATTGACTAACCTTTTGTGAAAATCGACCCACTCAAGTTGTATCGGTTTGGGTTGATTTTTTGGTTTGGCCAGTCGGTTCAAAAGATTTAAATTTACAAATTAAATTTAATTATAAAAATTATAGTGCAGTTATTAAAAAATAAATATAAAAATTAGATTTATGATATAAAACATTTTAGAATAAGAAATATTGAAAATTTCCAACTTTGCCATATTAAAGATTATATTTAAAATATCAAAGATTTTTATGAAGTCTAAATTACGTAGCATACTACTACAAAGACTTGGCACAAGACCGTTTGTTGCTCCAAAGGAGACTGAGAAATAATCCCCCTGAATGGAATGAGCAGTTCACCCAAATAGTGAAGAGAATCAAGCAGATAGTCAAAACCCTTCCATGTCTCAACATTCCGCATCCAAAATTTCCTAAGATTGTAGAAATCGATGCTAGTGAGCTATGATATGGAGGAATCCTGAAACAAAAAAGGACAGGGAAAAGAGGAAATTATTTGATTTACCTTGGGAACCTGGAATGAAACTTAGAAAAAATATTATACCGTCAAAAAAGAAATGCTTAGCATAGTCCTCTACATCACTAAATTTCAAAGTGATTTGATAAATCAACATTTTACTCTTCAAATAGATTGCAAATCGGGCAAAGATATTTTAGAAAAAGACGTTAAAAACATGGTTTCAAAACAGATTTTCGCTAGATGACAAGCTATTTTATTTCGAAATTAAATATACTAAAGGATCTGAAAATGCTCTGCCATATTTTTTAACTAGGGAATTCTTGCAAGGTTATCTAATTCAAGATGACCGACTGAATGCCGCATCTTCCAATAAGTCCCAATTTCAGGCAACCAAAGAGATATAATGAGATCAATCCAAGATCTAATCAGATCGGATCTAGTTCAAGGACTAATCAGTCTCTCCCTTAATCAATGATTCATCACTTGACATGAAAGATGCTATTTCCAGCCAATATATCTATAATTCAACTGAGTTCGTGGTTATTGTTTACCGATAAGAAGCTTCTTATGTCTAGTCTCATGCCAATCCGGAATGAGCTCTTCAACATCTCGCTTCAAGGGTTCTCGACAGTCATCATTTTACTGTCTGCGGTCTAAATAAATACCAAAAATATTATGAGAAAATCCTGTTGCATACAGGATCCGCAAGAATCCAGCATTATTTCAGAGATCTTAACAAAACCGAACTAGCTTATTCTAAGCTAGTAATAGTAAGATTTATGACTAAATTAGCATGGGGTGACTCCAGCAAGCCCAGATTTATTACCAAGCCAATTGACAGAAAACCCATAATGTTCAACTACTGGGACTATCAAGATGCTTGGTATAAAGTTTTTTCTGCTACAAAACTCCATCTTTAGACACTCATGGTTCATCCGGTTTTCTTAAGACTTTCAAAGCCCCTTCCCCGATTGGGCCTATGTTTGGTGGACCTCATGGGGAGCCTCAGACGATATTTCCCCTTGTAAAGAATTAGCTGACAAATATAAAAATTTTGAAAAAGGGAGAAGCTATTTAGAATTCAGTCACATTAAGCAGTTTGGATTCTTTAAGACCTTCTGCCTCCCATGGATTTTAAAATTGAGTTATCAACTAGATGTTTCTTGGTTGCCTATGGATAGATAGATAGATAGAAAGATATGTAGATAGATGGATATTAATGATAATTCAATATTGGGCTTTTTACAAAGAAAAATGAAAAATAAAGTTTCATGAATTTGCAAACTTCGATACATTTTTTTTGCCAAATTGCCCCTTTTCATTGAATTGAGAAGGGAAGTATAATTTACTATTCATATTATTCCTCCTCTCGAAATGACCTCAGGCTGTTGTTTATACACAATTGAGTATAGAGGTGGATGAAAAGTCACTGTTCATTTGTTTGGATCTACAAAAACAATGACATGGCTTCACTGAGTATCAAATGTTGATGTTGAAGAGTAGTCTCACTGCCCGGTTCATCCGAAATTCTAAAGATCTAGCACAACTCCTCCAGAGTAGTCTCACCGTCTGGTTTAGTTTCAAGGTAGAAGACAATGAACAATGTATTATTTTGAAGGGTAGTTTAAACATTTTTTAACATATAGCTGACAGTTGGTTAACAACAATGACTAACTTGACACTTTTTGAAAGTTTAGATACTGCATTGACACATTTAAAAGATCGGGTAGTAACTTGAGAATTGGGATATACTCCTCACACAGGGTGCCTCACAATAACCTCACAAGCACATCCCACTTTGCATTGGGAACATCTCTTGTACTTATGTATTTTTATTTACGGGAGATGTTCCCAATGTACGGTGGGATGTGTCCGTGAGATCAGTGTAAGGTGCCATGTGTGAGTAGCAGATCCGGTCCCATAACTTGACACTACCCACAAAGTTATGAGTTCACATCTCCGCCCCACAACATATCCCCGTCGTGTATTGGGGAACATCTCCCGATGATGTGACGACTATAAAAAATTGTGAAGACGGTGTGAGAACGTTTATGAGGACTAAAAAACCCGATCTCTCAAACAACCACTAATTCTTAATTCCTATATCCCCCAACCGCACTCAAGGCGTGATTCGGGACTCGGGATTTGGTCCCCGGTCTCTAAACATACACAATGTTTGACCCATTATACCAAAATACTGAATTGGGATTTGTTCCTCGCAATGGGCACTTTACACGGGACCTGCTCCTCACATCTGGCGCCTCATATGCACATCCTATCATGCATTGAGAATATCTCCTGTACTTATTAGTTATTATGCACGTTGGATGTACCTGTGAGGCGCCCATTTGTGAGGAGCAGATCCCATCACACTTTACATCGACCTCACCGATCCCACAGGCATATCTCACCATACATGGGGAACATCTCTCATGAATAATTACACGTAAGTACGAGAGATGCTTCGGATACATGGTGGGATGCGCCTATGAGGTTGGGGTGAGGAGCAGATACCGGAGAGTAATTTCAAAGGCCCATACTCAACCCTGAGGCCTGAACCGTTTTCTGCGGTTTAAGGTCTGGTCGATTTTCAAACCCCGCGATTGCCTCGCGGGCACAAAACCGCGCAAAAAAGCTTATCCGTTTAATCGACTTAAACCCTACTACAACCCTAACTAATGACCTTCCATCCTCCCTCGTTGATGCCTGAAGTTCTACAATCCACTCGTACTTTCGTATATGCGTCTCGACTCGAAACTTGGACAAACCCATCGCCTCTGCAACAAAATTTCATACAAGAATCTCTGTCGTTGTTCGTGCAAGCTTCGTCACTTCGGTTCATTTACGTGAATCTTATAGCATTGACGGCTGACATTTTATTGTCACCTTTTTGCTGAAGCTGCTATGCCTGGCCAACTTCTACCCATCCGTTTGATCAACAGTTCTGTTTCAGCCAGAGGTTTCTCCAGTATGAGACATGCTGCAAACTTTCAATGTTCTCGAGGAGTCTCCAATTTCCGCCAGGTATTTCCTTTTAGGTTGAAGTACCTGGCGTTTTCGAGAAAGCTAGGGTTTCCTGTGTGGGTAAATAAAGAATCTGGAGTCCGGAGGTTTTCGAGCCGTTCATTTCTGTCTAGAAATGGTGGAGGTGGTAGTGACAGTAGGTCTAGTAGGAATTTGGAGTTCGAACGTAGTCGTGGAATGGAGAGAGGAGAGTTTCAGGCGGGGGGTTTTGGAGGGAGAGGTGGACAAACGAAGAGTCTCGTTGAGGACGAAGCCGAGCTTAGTGATTGGATCGATGAATTGAGGAAAGATCCTATCCGACTTGGACTGAGCAGTGAAAGCGATGATTCAGACATGGGAAGTAGTAAGGGTAGGGGTAGGGATGAATTTTCATCCATGAAGAACCGGAGAGTCGGGACTTCGCGTTCGAAGAGGTGGAGAGACAGTGATTCTGATGATTTTGCTGTTTCTCAGGGGAGCAAGTCCCGGGGCACAAAGGGATCATTTTCAAGGGATTCAAGGTTTTCCTTATCTGAATCAAAGAGGCGATTCCGTAGTGAATCAGAGGAGGATGGAGATGAAGACTTTTCCCCAAGAAGAAGGGATATTGGGTCTCGGGGTGCTGCTGTCCCTGTGAAGAGCGGTGGGAGAAATTCGAATTTGAGCTATGGGGGTAGGAATTTGCAAAGAGGGGGGAAGGGTTCTAGAAGGCAACCCCCTCTGATTTCTGAAGATGATGAGGATGAAGATTTGCCATCTAATTTTGGGGATTTGCTAAGCGAGGAAGGTAGTGAGGAAAGTGATGATAATGACGAATTTGAGGATGCAAATTTGTTGCCCGGATCAGCGAAAGAAGCTAATGTGCAGACAATGCCTAAAAGTTCAACTGCGAAAACTGATTCTTATCTAAGTCAGACGAGGCAAGTTTTCAACTCCATTGGAGTCCCAAAATACTACCTTTCATGGTGTGTCATCTGTTTTTTTCCTTCTTCTATTGTTAAGACTTTTCTTTTCTTTTTTTTTTTGGTATCAATATCAAATAATCTGTTTTATTAATTTCCATTGCATGTGAAGTACAAAACTGCTTTCCAAAAGTCTTTAGAAATTTAGGACAGAACCTGCTATACAACCACTGGCTGACAAAGTAAGACCAACGAAATAGATATCAACAGTTATAGAGTTACTCAGTTACCCCCTTGGAGAAGTGCTAGCAGGCCAGCAGTTCAGCCCTTAATGAATTACTGATCCGAGCTGGGTTTGAATAGCTCACCAAAAAAATAGCCTCTGATATATTATTATTTTTTTAATGAGAAGAGCTAGCCACTGCAGACCATCCTCTTAGAATTGACTATTGAGTCAACTGGAACTTCTCTAAATTTATCTCTAGTTGTCATCCAGTGTGCTTCTGCACTGTGCAAATATCAATAAGGCTATCTATATCTTAAACTTTTGGTCTGAAAAAGAATTCTAGAACTGCACTCACATGAACACTTTGTGGAACAACTCCTTGGCGCAGTCCCAAAAAAATATAATCCCCTATTGGTGTGAATGGGGATGAGTTATGAAGAAAACAACTAGACACATCTGAAGGAGCAGACCAAGTAAAACTGAGAAGGTAAAAGAAATGACTATACCTCTATTGTGAAGGGCACTTCAGAAGGAGGTAACTGGCATTACCTTCACTCCTTAATCAGAGGATGCACACTTGAGGAGATAGGTAGTTAGGTACCAAGTAGTCCTTTTATGCTGGAGCATTTTGCCTATGTTGTTTACCATCATGGAGGCTTCTTAGCAAGAGACTTTGTCTTTGGTGAAAGAGGGCCAATCCCAAAGGTACTTGTCAGGAAAAGGGTGAAAAGAGGAGCAAGAGAACACCTCAATGGATTTGAGAATTAGTTAAGACTTATATGCTAAGTTTATGCAATGAGTATTTAAATTAGATGGATTTCTAAGAGATATGGCATTGACATAGGTGTAAGCATCTTATGCAATGTCATTTACATGAGGCTTGGATATTTGATGCCAGGGCACCCAGCATCCTCACCTTTAATCAATTAATTCCAGCAAGACTCTAAGTGGCAGCACATAAGATGGTATGAACAATTAAAGCAAAAAGCACATGGGTGCTTGTTTGAAGTTTTCTACAAATATATGACCTTTAGATGTTAAGAACAATATTACCGAAAGAACAATATTATGACAAAGACTCAAGATGGGACCCATCTACCGTGCAATCTATGATATTCCCTAGGACAAACTAAGAATATGGAAAAGTCTACATGAACTATTTGTATTTTTGTTTTAGTTAATCCAATTCATCAAAGAATGAATGTATAAAGCCTATGCTTTACGCTGTAGCAGGTGAAAAGTGTGAGTCTGTCCAGTTTTTAATGTCAGTTCCTCACTAGAAATGGGAAATAACATGAAAATCTCCTCAGTTTTATTTATTTTTTGAGATCGGATGCATAAACAATTTTTGCTTTTAACTACTAAAGGTGAAGTTTTGCAAAGGAGCAATAAAATTAATGTTTCCAATAGGAATGGGTGTATAAAGCCTATGCTTTACATTGTAGCAGGTGAAAAGTGAGTCCCTCACTCCACTTTATAATGTCAGTTACACATTCCTTAGTTTTTTTTTTGAGATTGGATGCATAAATATTTTTTGTTTTTTAACTACTAAATTTGAAATTTTACAAAGGAACAATAAAATTCATGTTTCCAATAGGATCAATGAATTAACAATCACTAATTTTATGTTGTTTCTCTAGATCCTTCTTTTGATTGTTATCTGGATATTCATTTTATGTCTACAGATTTGATCAATGTTCCCTCTCTCCCTTGTCACTAAAGGGAATAAAGGATGCTGGATATGAGAGAATGACTATGGTGCAGGAGGAAACTCTCCCCATCATCCTGAAAGGTTTGTTCCTTAAACATGGTTCATGATATTTAAGTAAAAACCATAGTTTTCAAGGTGCCAAGGCGAGGCTAGGCGACAGGGGGCGCCTTGTTGCAGTCTCTTAGGCGATGGATTTTTTCAAGTAAAAATATGTACCCTAGGGTAGTTCCCTAGGTTCCATAATCATATTTCCTTAATAATTATCCATAATTTTCATGAGAAAAGTATAAACTTCATGTTAAAGTATAGGAAATCAACATATTCCAACATATTCATGAGAAAAAAAGAAAGAAAAGAAATTTCAAAAAATATAAGGGCTGAACCCTATTTCTGTTATAGGAAAAGAAGAAAAGAAAAGGTGGAAGAAGAAAATTGGTATATAGTATAGACACAAAATTAGTAAAGAAAAAGAAGTAAATGTGTTGATTAGAAAACATTTTAAGTTCTTCCTTACTTATTGGTTCAGGTTTTGAAGTCTTTCAGGGTTCAATACAGCATTTAGCAATGTTTGTGTTGATTAAACCCTAACAAATAAGAAAATAATAAAAATAAATTAGTATATAAACACTCAAAATGAATATTTTAGTTTAAAAATGTCTATTTTAAAACTATAACCTCAAAAAATTAAGAATATAAAAGTTTTGTCTAACATACTATAGAAAACTGCTCGGTGATTAGGTGAGGCGAGCCTCTAAGGGCGCCTTGTCACCTAGGCGTTGCCTTGATAACTATGGTAAAAACCCAAAACACCTAAGATGGTGTTTGGAAGCGTGGGCGCTTTTTGGGACCGATTTTCAAGAAAAATGCCCATGCTTCCAAGACCCGTTTTTCACAAAAAAACACTACTGCCACGTAGGCAGTGAGCAACACTATGCTGTTTGGTAAGGTGATTTTCATTACCATTTTTCATGTATGTGCTGACAGGTAAGCACCACATAGGATACACATCAGTCAACCGTTGGGGGAAATAGTTCATATATATGGGCGTTTGTTGAAACGCCTATGTGGATCTGACGTGGTACCATTTTTTGAAAAACGGCCACGGTTCCAAACATCCCCTAAAGAAGTAATCAAAATGTTTTGAGTTGCTGTATAAACTAGTGTTTTGTCCAAGTCAGCATATTCAAGGTGTTTTGTCGTTGGAGATACACAGACTTTTCTCCTTTATTCATCAAGTACGAACCATTGGTTCATTTAGGTGGTGTTTGATAATGCTGAAACATATTGATAAAAAAAATGCTGAAACAGGGTCTGACATCGAAGGACTTGCTTTTCATAGGTTTGATCTTGTTTATGTCAATATCTGAACCATACCTATGAGAAATGGTAATAGGTGGCTCATGAGTGGAATGCGAGTAGATGTGTTTTAGATGACTCATAATGACTAAAATACCCTCTTTTTTTTTTTTTTTAATATTACAGAGGTTCTGAAAAAGCAGAAAAGCAGATTTGCTGTTTTCAGATATCAAAGCTGTCAAAAGAGCTTTTGTGCTTTTTAGATATCAGAGTTCAAATTTATCCAATATCCTTAAATAGATTGCAAGACACATCAGTATTTGTTCAACTGAGCTGAAATAGTTGAACTTGCTTAGACAAAAGTTTGTTGTCTCTGTGGAGGGTATGCCTGTAAAAATAAGTGCTTATAGGGAGTTCTCATTTCAGCAGCTAAAACTGAAACCTGTGTGGGGATTGCGGAGGGTATGTCTGCTCAAATAAGTGTTTGTAGGGAATTCTCATTTTAGCAGCTAAAGCTGAAATCTGTATAGGGATGGTGTATCCTTAGAAGATGTATCAGGGTGTGTCCATATGCTACTTCTGTTCAGACCCATCTAAGCAATTTCCTTGCATGTATGGAGGGGATAGAGCAACATAAGGACTCCTTATGTGCTGATCTGAGAAAAAACATATAAGGACTACCCGGGCGTCCAATCTATAACATTTCTTGAAGAAGAAAAGAGAAAAAAGCAATCTTGGATGGTTAGGATCATCTTTTTGATTGATGATGGTTTAGATTATCTTTCTGTGCCTTTTTTGTCTTTGTTTTTTCACCAGAGCTATATCAGTCCCCCAGATGTGGGGCAAAGCAAAAAAAAAAAAAAAAAAAAGAAAAAAAGAAAAAAAGAAAAAAGTATTTCACTAGAGCTAACTATAAACTGATTTTACTCTGCAGGCAAGGATGTCTTGGCCAAGGCAAGAACAGGCACTGGAAAAACTGTAGCATTTCTGGTAAAATGCCTCACCTTTTTGTTTCTTCATGAATGCATGCTTACCTATTAAAACAACAATCATTGTTTAGTGGCACTATGAAAGAGATGCCAATAGGTTTTCTTCATACTCGTCATTGAAGTTCTTAATTTCAGCTTCCAGCAATTGAAGTAATTGTAAAATCACCTCCCATTGACCGTGATCAAAAGAGGCCCCCTATCAGTGTGCTTGTTATATGTCCAACACGAGAGCTTGCAACGCAAGCCGCTGCAGAGGCCAACACTTTGTTGAAGTATCATCCTTCTATTGGTGTACAAGTTGTTATAGGTGGCACAAGACTTGCTCTGGAACAGAAGCGCATGCAAGCAAACCCTTGCCAAGTGAGTGTCAAGGATATCTTTGTAGAAGATACCAAATTTGTGGTTCTATGACTTTATCCCTGAATATGTGGCATTTATCAAGTAGGGGGTCAACCTTATTAAATTACCTTCAACTCCTGAAATTCTCAGATTCTTGTAGCCACACCTGGCAGGCTTAGAGACCATATTGAGAACACAGCAGGATTTGCAACTCGGCTGATGGGTGTAAAGGTGCTTGTCCTTGATGAGGCTGACCATTTATTAGATATGGGATTTCGAAAAGACATTGAGAAGATCATTGCTGCAGTTCCGAAACAGCGTCAAACACTTCTATTTTCTGCAACTATTCCAGAAGAGGTTCTATTCTTTCTCAAACACAAATTAATATTACACTATGGAAAGCTCCCAGTAAGCTGTTTGTTATGCAGGTCCGCCAAATCAGTCATATTGCTTTGAGGCGAGACCATGAATTTGTAAACACAGTTGCGGAGGGTAGTGAGGAGACACACTCACAGGTGGACACTTTTATTGGTTCATATTTTAGTTTATCGATTTTTTATGTCTTTAAGATGTCATGAGAGAAACTGACTGTGTGTTTGCTTCCTTTTCATTCTCCACACTAAATTGTAATCAAAACAAATTTCAAATTGAGATTGTTTCAGGTCATCCAGAAGCACTTAGTTGCTCCACTCGACAAGCATTTTTCACTGCTATTTGTTCTTCTAAAGGAGCACATTTCAGATAATGTTGATTACAAGGTATAGTCACTATATATTCTTCTATGGAGTTTATTGGCAAGACAAGTTTTCTGCCATTTTGTTTTCTTTTTTGGTTTTCTTAAAAAATGACTTGGATGGTTAGAAGTGAAAAATAAGAAAAGTTTGTGGAAATAGAAAATGCAAGTGTTATTTAAAATATAGGTTCCATGTTTCTAAATATATAGTACAACATATAAATTGCATTCTCCAAGCATGTACCATAAATAACCCACATTATGCTATGGGGGCTTCAGGTTCTTGTATTCTGCACAACTGCAATGGTCACAAGACTTGTTGCTGATCTTCTTTCTGAGCTGAACTTGAATGTTCGGGAGATCCATTCAAGAAAACCACAGAGTTACAGAACCAGGGTTTCTGATGAATTTCGAAGGTCAAAAGGTCTTATTCTTGTGACATCTGATGTATCCGCTCGTGGAGTTGATTATCCAGATGTTACACTAGTTATACAGGTGATGTAATGTTAATCTTTGCTTGCTTTAGATGTTTTAAAGTAGGCATTATGTTCAGGTAATCTAGACTATTGTGTGTTTATTCTGTTTCTATATAGTACCTGGTAGGTGGTGCTTAAATGGTATAGCAGTTTGAATGAATGGAAGCTCTACTTATGTGGGCTGTACCCACTTTAGGTACTGAAGGAAGAAGGGTAAGAAATCAACAGATTGATGCCTATTCTTGAGAACACTGCCAACTTTACCTATGATTTCGACAACTCCTTTGTTCTTCCTTCTTGATAGTCACCAAAAATGAATTACAAGAAGCTTTATTTTTTTTTTCAGCAAAAAGGGATAACATGCATTATGGGTTGGCTATCAAAAAACTGCCATTTATCATATAAATAACATACTATCTTTCAATTGGCAGCGGCTAGGATTACCAGGAATATAAAAAATCGGCAAAGGGCTATTTCAACTCTTCAATTTGAATAATCAGTTTCCTTTGATCAGTAAACTTGTTCAAGGTTCAAAATTTCGATACAATACGCCCTGTATCGGGTGTATCGTATTGCATCTTTTGCTTACCAATATACCTAAAAAACTAAAAATAAAAAAAAAAGCGCAAGGTTCATAGTATTAATACACCCCTTTCAGCGTATGGGGAGGTATCAATGTTTTGAACCTTGAACTTGTTCATTATAAGAAATTGACACCCTAACTCTTCCAAAATAACATAATCCCTCCCTATTAAGCAGAGTTCCCTGTCCCTCTATCCCATCCTCTAGTCAGAAATAAGTAGAAGAGAAGAAAACTGGGCATATCTCTCTCAAACAGGCCTTATTTTTAGTGGTTCCATGCTAGTAAGATTATTGCTAGTTTTCTGCATTGTATTATATATGTGGTTTGACTTCTTATTAATAAATTCTTTTGTGATGTACATGCTTAGATATGCTTAACTTAGAGACAATTTTTATGTATTATATTGATGGTATTTTTAGCTTAAAACATTATTATCCGAAAGGTTCTTATTGTTTGTTCTTGTGAGATGGTAATTGAATCCGTCTAAGTTTTTCTCCTTGCATTTGAACATAAAATTAAGAAAAATAGTAATGTTGTTACTTGTTAGATAGTGCATTTACAATTGCAAAAATGATAATTGAGTGAATTAAGTTGGATGCCTACCAACCCAATATAAGAATTTGGTATGCAAAAAATTTTAATAACTTTTCTAGTTTTCTATATAAAGCATGAATGTAAAGTTCACTGAAGTTCAATTTGTCTTTTAGTTTCGTCAAATCTTTCTGAAACATTGGAGATTTTTGTTTGGTTCTATATGAAGAAATTAAAATACCATTTTTTATTTGTTACAGTTTCTGTAGATATTGAAATTTTACTTAACGTCAGCATATTTTGGGCTAAATTTTAGGTCAAATTGATTTAAAAATTATAAAATGTCAAACATAAAAAACATTTACAATTTGTAAGGTTTCAATTACAATTATACAATCTAAAGAGCTTTAAATGATAAATTAACAAATTATGCATTGTTTTTGCTCTCTCTTGATCTATGGTTAATCATTGTAAGTTATCTTCAGTATTTTTGTTCCGGCCCTCCAAGAGAAATTTCTGGTTGGGCTCTTGCTTCTTGAGGGATAAGTAAAAGCCATTAGAGGATGCTTTCTTCAATTAGCTTGGTTTATTGGGTGAAATTTGTTAATTTGTTTTTAAGGTTTCTCCATACAGCTTAACAGAGATTAATATGCTGATCATTGCAAATGCAGGTTGGTTTGCCGTCTGACAGAGAACAGTATATTCATCGACTTGGTAGAACTGGCCGAAAGGGTAAAGAAGGGCAAGGAGTTTTGTTGCTGGCACCTTGGGAGGAGTTCTTTTTGTCAAGTGTCAAAGATTTGCCAATAGAAAAGATCTCAATGCCCTCAGTTGATCCAGATACAAAGAAGAAAGTGAGTATTGATGGCATTCCTGTTTCTCTTATTTATCCCTTACCCTTCCAGAAGGAAGATGAAATTTTCATCCTTAATGCTTCTAAATGTGCCATGGCTGTAGAAACCTGGAAAACATCAGGAGCAGGGTTAGAGCACAACCATTGGTTCCAGCTTCTGCTGGTTTTGTCAAACTAGTGTCTAAACCCTGAGGGTTGAAACTTTCATCCTACCATTGTTGACCACATAGACGCTAACAAAAATAAAAGCATGAAGATAAATATACACATTGTGTGTCACATGAAACTTTTTGTTGTAACAATAGAATCTAGAATGGAGTATGGAGGTGTAACTCATCAATGGAATCTAGAATTTTAGTAACAATAAAATCTAGAATTTTAGGTAGTATGGAGTATCATGATCCATGGAACTCCCTCAAGCTGGCTTTGGGAATATTTCTCTGGACCCAGCACAGTATGGAGGTGTAACTTATCAAAGTAAATACATTTGGGAAATTAATTTATGAATTCTGAGGTGGAGTGGACTGTAAAAAAGGCCATTTATTTATTATTTTGATTTGATAACTTGACAAGGGTATCTCACATCAAGAGTTAACCATCAAAACAATTGAAATGATCCAACTCCCATTATTTAGCATTTCGGTGACTCTGAAAACTGATATGTACTTGTCGATACACGCCAGGGTATCTCACATCAAGAGTTAACCATCAAAACAATTGAAATGATCCAACTCCCATTATTTAGCATTTCGGTGACTCTGAAAACTGATATGTACTTGTCGATACACGCCCACATGTCTTGATGTTTTGAACCTTGCTTGTGCCTTGTTACTTTTATGAATGCCTTAAGAGTAGTAGAAGTCTGGTTTTTTTCCCTGGATCTCTGACTCTTTTATGGGTTACTTTTAAGACTAGTACTAATTTAGATGAGGGTTGACTGAACAGGTGGAACGGGCATTGTCCCATGTAGAGATGAAGAACAAAGCAGCAGCATACCAAGCCTGGCTTGGCTTCTACAATTCGAACAAGATTGTAGGCCGAGACAAATGCCGGCTTGTGGAACTTGCAAATGAATTCAGCAGGAGCATGGGGTTAGACAATTCTCCTGCCATCCCAAAACTTGTTCTTGGAAAGATGGGGCTCAGGAATGTTCCTGGCCTGCGCTCCAAATAGGCAGCGAGTCATGCAAGTTGGTGCATTCTCAATCCTTGCAATTCTTCATAATTTATCACAAAGGAATTTAACCGGTTTAATTCATTCGAGAAGTGCACTTTTCTCCCATTTTGTTATGTAGAAGGGAAACACTTATACCACTTCTCTGCAGGCGGGAATACTTCCACCAAGAGTTGTTGCTACTAGTGGAAGATTTTCTTTGCTTTTGAAAAAATGAATTGAGAAGGGAAAAAAGCAAGAAAATCCCTATTTTATTTAAGAAAATCCTGGTGCTGCAGGCTATAATAGATGTAGGTTTTCCGCTGTCTGATCCATGCAGTTGACATGTTTCTGACCATCTAATTGGTATTGCTCCAATGGTCCGGATGCAAAAGATATACACATGAAATTGGGGCATATGATCCTCTCGAGGGTATAAAGCTTAAATTCATCATTATCTAAACCTTGTCTCAACTATATGGGGTCGGTTTGTTTCACCAGTCCGATACGTTTGTTTAGTGCCATCCCGTTGGGGCTTGTGATACTCCGATTGGATAATTATTTAAGAAAATCCTGGTGCTGCAGGCTATAATAGATGTAGGTTTTCCGCTGTCTGATCCATGCAGTTGACATGTTTCTGACCATCTAATTGGTATTGCTCCAATGGTCCGGATGCAAAAGATATACACATGAAATTGGGGCATGTGATCCTCTCGAGGGTATAAAAGCTTAAATTCATCATTATCTAAACCTTGTCTCAACTATATGGGGTCGGTTTGTTTCACCAGTCCGATACCTTTGTTTAGTGCCATCCCGTTGGGGCTTGTGATACTCCGATTGGATAAAAGCTTTAACTTGTAATACATAAAGAAAGGAGAGAATGATAAACATGGCATTCAGGGGAGGTAATGTGTATTTCTCTTTTGGGTAAGAGACTTAGCCTCCCTCAATATTTGTTGTAAACACTGAAACCTCCCCTCTTTTTAAATTGGACTAATACTTCCCTTGTTAAATTATGGCTAATAAAATTATCATAAAGTGCATTTCACTTTTTTTTTTAATTCTTCAAATTTTCAAAATAGTAGGATTACAGCAAGCTGATTAAAATTGAGATGTGAGATTTTCTTAAAGTAGCGTCTTCATAGTCTCCTAATGTATAGACAGACCAGTGGACCACCACTGCAAATAAAGTGAGGTGCAGATCAAACCTCATGACAGTTTATTTTTACTTGAGCCTAGTACTTGTACTTGAAAAAACGTGAGAGAAATCCTTAGAGATAATTGCTCGAAGCTAAATTTATTCTCATTCTAGATATTCCTAGACGTATTATGAAAGATTGAATCTCATACACATTTCGGCCCATATACATCTTCGCACTAAATTACATTCAACCTAGATAAATATGTTCCCATTTCACTGAACCGACTAACTATTGATGGAGCAGATTGCATAGAGTGGTTAAAATTGTAGAAATCAGGACACGAGCTCGTGGACATCTTGTCACAGGTGACCATTTTGCCGTGCCTTCAAGTGCCATCATCACGCCCACAACATGCCATCCAAGTGTCCAAGTGTGTCTTGAGTGAGATATTGCATGTATTTTGTATGGGGGGATTGCCAATGACATTATTGTAATTCTGTAGTATGATTTTTTACCTTTTTGATGTTTCTTATTGTCACTCCCCCAAAAGCTTAATGTACTCTTTGAGGGGAGGTAGGTAGTCGAGTGAATCAGTAGTGTGTAAAGGTTAAGCACGAGATCCCCTCGACACTGAACTGTGTGGTTGTGCTTGCCATCTATCAATGCAATACAAATAGCCTTTTGCTAATTCGTGTGTCATCTTGTTGCCTTTTTGTGTGTGTTTTCTTTGTTGCTTAGGCTTACTCGCCCCATTCGAGTGCCGCATGGGGCTTCAACGATTACCCCCGTGACAGTTGGTAGCTCCTTCCTACCTATTTGACCCGTGACGAGAGTGACAGCATGAAACACAACAAAGACACCATGGAGGAGATTGAGCATGGACTCTCCACATCCCATGAGCTCGACGATGCACCCGACGACGACATCGGCAAGGACAAGGCACCGAAGCCCAACAAATGTGAGAAATCTACCAACAAACATGCAACCATTGACTTGCACATGCTACGTTGTGAAGCCATCGTAAGTGAGATGCGAGACTTGATAAACGAGCTGCATCAAAACATGGAAGCCATGGACAGTACACTGGTCGAGACGGAAGGCCGCCTGAGTGGAGTTGTGGATGAGGTCCGTGACATAATCAATGGCATGCTCAAGGAAATTTGCAGCACTACGCGCCAACAAGAAGCAAGCTCATCCAACTCAAAGGTCCAAGACAAGCTTGACAGTTTTCAAGCCCAGCTCGATGAGATGAAGAAAGAATGGGCAACATGGAGAAGAACCATCTCCACATCAATGGCCGTCCAGGCCCAATTAGATGAAATGAAAGCGGAGTGGGCCTTAATGAAGTCAGCCGCGTGTGCCTCCTCCGACGTCCAAGCTCAACTAGAGGAATTCAAAGCTGAATGTGCAATCTTGAAGAGGGCCATCACCAATCCAGCCAGCACCTCATTTGCACATACTCCCTCCCACATCAAGATTAGGGAGCCAACTCCCTATTCGGGTGCCCGCAACGCACAGGAGCTTGACAACTTCTTGTGGCAAATGGAATAGTACCTTGCCGCAGCTAATGTGACTCATGAAACGACTCAGGTGCGTACTGCTACTATGTATTTGACTGATGTCGCTATGTTGTGGTGGTGCAGAAGGTGTGTTGACATAGAACATGGTACGTGTGCTATTCGTACCTGGGCTAACTTTAAGCGAGAGCTAAAGAGACAGTTCTACCCGGAGAACGTGTAGTACCTCTCTCGCCGCAAGATGAAAACTCTCAAGCATGGCGACTCGTTCCATGAATATGTCAAAGAATTTTCAGCCCTCACACTAGAAGTCACCGATATGTCCGACAAGGACTTATTGTTCAACTTCATGGATGACCTAAAGCCTTGGGCCGAGCTTGAGCTCCAACGACGTAATGTTCATGACCTTTCCTCTGCCATGGCCGTGGCCGAACAACTTGGTGAACTGAGACTGTCAGATGATGAAGGAAGCAAAATAGTCAGCCCGCGTGCCACACATTTGAGTAGGGGAGATAGACAACCAAATCCCCCAAAGGAGAAGCCGACCTTCAACCACAAACTAGTCGAATACCACAAAGGGAAGCGACCACAAGGAAGTCGAAGCTACTACAACAACAAATATCAAGGGAGACCAAGCTGTCCTCCCACTTGTTACATTTGTGGGGATGAGCACTTGACCAGGGATTGCCCAAAGCGGGAGAAGTTGAATGCCATCATCGCCAAACTAAGTGATGACGAGCAGAGTAATGGGGAACGGAGTACCCAGGCGCCAAGAGTGGGCACCCTCCAGCTTTTTAATGCTATGATGAAGAAGGGGGCTACCTCGAAGCAGCCCGCCTTAGTCAAGAGAGGACTGAGGTATGTTGATATAAGCCTCGGCGGAAGGCTGACTAAGGCCCTAGTTGACACAGGGGCCACTCACAACTTCATATCCATTGCAGAGGCCAAGAGACTTAATTTGGCCATCTCTAGAGAGCCAGGCTGGCTCAAAGTAGTTAACACAGGTGCCAAACCTACTAAAGGCATAGCTCGCCAAGTTAGGCTACAACTCGGCACCTGGGATGGGGAGATTGATCTCTCCGTTGTTCACATGGATGATTTTGATGTTGTCCTAATGGACTTCTTGGTACAGACAAAAGCGGCACCGATGCCTCACCTTGATACTTTGATGATCTTGGACGAGCAGTTACCTTGCATGGTCAACATGATCGCCACAGTCAGTACCAAGAAGAAGCAAGTTTCAGCCTTGTAGCTCCAACACCAACCTCAACATCAAGGGATGGTAAAGAGATCTACAACAACCACCATTACTGCAAGTAGAAGTGATTGTAGCAACTCCCAGAAGACGTCAGTGCCAACGCCAACATTGCCACAACACCAGTAGCAGGAGCGAAAGCTACCTTCGTAGTAGAAGCCGCATACGCCCGCAACAGATGGGCTCAAGAGAAGACCCAATGCCAACTTCAACTGTAGCCGTACCCACTACCTCACTCATCTGGGAGAGCGAGTGCCACCCAAACTGTATAGGAACAATCCCATTCTCACCCCTCCTCAAGCCAAATCACGTAATAGCATGGTGAGCAACCATCCTTGGACAAATATGCAGGGGAACCAATACTTGAAAAATCCAAACCATCATTTTGACCCAGCCTTGGCCACAAGTTTTCCTACCACCACCGGGGAACATCCAAAATCCTACCTTGAAGCAGCCAAGTAGGGACTTAACTTAGGAACTAGCCATAGGTTTTCCCACCGTCAAGAACATCCAAAAACCTTCCACCCAACCTCCTATCCGGGCCTTGGAAGAAACCCTGTTCGTGGAGCAGTTGAAGAACCTTCCTTCACCAACAAGAAGTTCGAGCCACAAGCTGGAGCTGGTCTTCAAGGACGAAGACGGAATTGAGTGGGGGAGAATGTCACAAGTGACCATTTTTCCACGCCTTCAAGTGCCATCACCACGCCCACAGCATGCCATCCGAGTGTCCAAGTGTGTGTCTTGTGTGGGACATTGCATTTGTATGGGGGATTGCCAATGGCATTATTGTAATTCTGTAGTATGATTTTTTACCTTTTTGATGTTTCTTATTGTCACTCCCCCTAAAGCTTAACATAATCTTTGAGGGGAGGTAGGTAGTCGAGTGAATCAGTAGCGTGTAAAGGTTAAGCACGTGTGCTTGTGCTTGCCATCTATTAATGCAATACAAATAGCCTTTTGCTAATTTGTGTGCCATCTTGTTGCCTTTTTGTGTGTGCTTTCTTTGTTGCTTTGGCTTACTTGCCCCATTCGAGTGCCGCACGGGGCCTCAACAATTACCCCCATGACAATCTGGCAAGATTACAAATAAATTATGTATTGTATCTAGAGGTGTCAATTGGACTGGATTTGGTCCAATTAGATCCAATCCAATGTGAGTCCACTTACAAATGGACTGGACACAATCCAGTCCATATCCAATACAAACCAAATCCAATCCATTAAAATGTAAACAGATTGGATTGGATCCAATCCAAACTAAATGAAAGATAAAAAATTATATAAAAGCACTTTTGGCATTGAAAGAACACTTTTGTAAAAGTGCTTTTATTAAAGTCATTTTGTAAAAGTGCCTTTGTTAAACTACTATAAAAGTGTTTTTATAAAAGTACTTTTATAAAAATGCTTTCGTAAAAATACATTTCATAAAATTACTTTTATAA